TCTGACAGGTGTGAGATGGTATGTCATTATGATTTTGATTTGCATTTCCCTGATACTAGTGATGTTGAGCAACTTATCATGTTCCTGTGGGCTATCTGCATTTCCTCTTTTGGAAAAATGTCTATTCAGTTCTTCCCATATTTTAAATAGGTTGTTGTTTGTTTCTTAATTGAAGTACAGTTGATTTAAAAAAATAAATGGTTTGTATGATGAAAAAAAAACAAACCAGAACCAGTGACCATCTGTATGAATTGCTGAGGATGTCAGATTCTAAGAGTTAATAATTAATCATGATAAAAACAAAACTCAGGCTTCCAGTGGGCAGCTAGGATGGAGAAACTGCACAAGTCTCCAGGCAGCAGTACTGTCCTGCCATTTTGCAGTGCTTTCTGGCACAAGAGTATCATTCATATTCAATTATCATGTGTATCACAAATAGTTTATCTTTGTAAATTAGAGCAGGTTAAAAATTAGCCCAGTATTATCACTTACATTCCCCCATCCCCTCTCTTGAGGGGGAAAGAAATGGATGCAATTACAGCCAGCCTATCAGAAATTCTGAGTAACTCAGTTTCTCGTTAGCTCTTGGTCTTTATTCCCAAATGGCATTGTTGAGTGGCAGAAAGAAAGGTTGAGAGCCTCTTTATTTCAGTTAAAACCTGGTTATGCTTTGGGATCACAAGTCTTTGAAGACTTGTAAAGTTTCACAAGCTTCATATTTAGTCAGGATCATGATCTTTGTGGGTTTCACTGAGCTGTCCGTATTCCAGTCCACCCTGGCTACACACCTTCATGCTTTATCACCAGGTGCTTTCAAAATCATTTCACTGGGACATCCTAATTCTGACACAGAACCTGGAAGCCATGAAAGAAGAGATTTAAACTGGGGAGGGAATGCTATTTAAAGGTAGCTTATTCCAAGTAGGGTTCCTGCCAGTTACGAAAAAGACAAAATACAATGGTGGTCAATTAACATCACTGAAAGACCATCAGCGAAACTCACACTATGGAAACCCCTCAAGGTTAATCTTATTTCTTCTACAAATAAGAAGGGGAAAAGAAATGGAAGGGGAAACATAACTTAAGAAACAGGCACTTCAATTTCATTATAGGTATCTGAATGGCCAAAAAGCTTATGAAAATATGCTCAACATCACTGATTGTCAGGGAAAGCAAATTAAGACCACAATGAAATACCACTACACACAGAATGGCTAAAGTTACAGGCTGAAAACATCAAATGGTGAGGATGCGGACCAACTGGAACTTTCATATTGTTTGTGAGTGTGTAAAACAGGATGACCGCTTTGGAAAAGGGTATATCAATTTCTAGTAAAATTAAAAATTTATCAACCTTGCAACTCAGGATATTCTACTAAGTCCTTACCCAAAAGAAGTTAAAACAAGAAGGTTCACAAGAAGCCTTGCACAAGATATTCACAGCAACTTTATTCATAATAGCCAAAACCTGGAAACAGCCCAGCATTCATTAGCTGTTCACCCAACAAGTTAAAGGTTAAACCGAGGCATATTCATTCATACAATAGGATACCACACAGCAGTGAAAGGGAACTATGAGCTGAAACACATCGATGAATTTTAACACATGCTGAGTGGGAGAAATTTACACAAGAATACATAAAGTATGACTCCCATTTATATTAAGTTCTAGACTAGGCCAAATTAATCTATGGTGAAAACAAAATCCTAACAAGGCAAGGGGTGGAAAAGGGGCAGGTATTGACTAAAGAAATTTTCTGTGATGGAAATGTTCCACAGCTTGTAAGGGGTTTGGATTACAGAGTTTTATGTAAAAATTCATCAAACGGTACACAACATTTGTTTAATTAACTATGAGTTTTACCTAAGGAAAAAGAAGTCTACTTAATATGGATGACAAGAAATTTAAGAGTCAAATATAGATGTCTACAACTTTGACACATACAGAGAAAAAAGATGGATGGATGCACAGACACGCGATGAAACAAATATGGCAAAATGTTACTTGTAGAATTGAAGTGGTAAGTATAGGCATGTTTGTAACTTAACTCTTTCAAATGCTTGAAATTTTTTATTAAACTATATCGCAGGGAAAAAGACATAATAATGATTGAAATGTGTGTGCACTACTGTTTAGATCCTGACTCAAACGAACTTTTTAAAAAATGACATCAGATAAGATATTGGATAAGAAACTATTATTTTTAGGAATGATGGTATTTTTTAAAGTCCTTTTTAAAAAGAGATGCACACTGAAATATATCCAGATAAATAACATTGTCTTGAATTTGCTTTAAAATTAATGAGGATAAGATGAGGAGGGGTCTGTAAGAGACAAAGAAAAATGGGAAGAGGATATGAAGACAAATTTATAAAAAAGAAAGTCCAAAAGCTCTTAAAATGAAGAAATCCTACATCATAAGAGAATGCCATTGTGTGTGGGTGTGTTTTTAACCTGCCAGATTGGCAAAGAACAGACTGCTAGTATACTGTGTCAGGGAGGCTACGGAGAAATGGGCACTTGCACTGCTGGTGCAAACTAAGAAAAAAACCAATTAGAGATATAAATTTAATTTTAGATCTAAATTACAAGTGCACATACTCTTGACCATGTATCCTACAGAGAAATTTATGTATGTACGAAATGACACAAATTTATACAAGGCAATTCATTTTGGCATTATAATAGCAAAAGATTGGAAACAATTTACATGCTCATCAGTAAGGACAGGTTAAATTACATACACATCCGTACTGTACAATGATTTTTAAAAATGAGAAAGGATTTTATATTGATATAAAATATTCAGGATGTATTAAGTAGGGAAAAAAGGTACAGAATAGTAGGCATAGTATGCTATAATTTATATTTTAAAAATAAATGAAAATGTCTATTAATATTTGCTTATCTATGCAGTCACTGGAAGTTTACATTAAATGAAACTGATGAGTGTTGCCTGAGATATGACTGAAGTACAGGATGGGAGGAAGACTGTCCACTGTATACCCCCTTCATATCTCTTGAATTTTACTTCTTTCAAAAAATAAAAACACAATTTTAAAAGTACCCCACTATTTATTTTCATATCATCAAAGCATAAGAACCAAATTAAACCTTCCTCTATCCTCTTCCTAAAATTCAGTAAGAAAACCACCCAATTGAAAAATTGACAAAATATCTGAACGAACGCCCACCAAAGACAGTATGATGTCAACACCTTATGTTATTATAGAACTGCAAACTAAAACGAGCTATCCCTACACACCTAGTAGAAGAGCTAAAATTGAAAACACTGACACCACCAAATGCTGGCAAGATGAGCTGCTGCAGGAACTCTCATTCATTGCTGGTGGAAATGCAAAACGGTAGAGCTATCTTGGAAGGCAGTTTGGCAAGTTTCTTACAAAACTAAACATAGTCTTACCATATGATCCAGCAATCACACTCCTTGGTATTTACCCAAATGAGCTGAAATCTTATGTATACACAAAAACCTACACACGAATGTTTATAGCAGCTTTATTCCCTTCGTACAAACTTCAGAGATTTATTTTCCAACCTGCTGAAGTCAGGCAGGAAAATGTATTCCTACTACATCGAGCAATTTTTCTTCAAAGCCCCTGTAATTTAGGCACTTTACTGCTGAGATACACCATTCTACCCTATATTACAGGTCCTACCAATTGAATGTGAACCCTTTCATGTAATTTGGAGGAAACTCAAACTAATTAAGTGTTTTAAATTATAAAATGAATAGGATGTAATGAAGAGAAAAATCTCCAAATGAGAATCTGCTAAGAGACTGTTTAAGGCAGAGGATGCCAATAGGGCATGTTAACTAGTAACAAGCAGGGTCATTGCCTCAAAAAGTCACCGAGATGGAAGTGGCTTTCTCCTGCTTCTTTCTTGTCATACTGCAGAATTAGTGAAAAGGATATAGAGCCTCTGCTCCACAGCGGATTCGGTCTCCCTGCCCACCTGGCAGAAGCCTCATTTACCCAGGCTTAGAGGGACAAATACAAAATGGTTTTGCTTCCTCCTCTGGTTTCAGTGAGTTCATCAGCTCACAGTCTTCAGCATTTTCTCCTTGGTATCTACATGCTACTTATCGAGTTCTCCCTTGCAATTCTTTTGAGCGAGCAAAAGCAAGATATGGACAACCTGGCCACATCCAATCCCACTATTTTTGACAACTTTACCACCTAGGAGATTATAAAGACACAAAGGACCCAAACAGAAGAGCAAAAGTCACTGTCATTTTTTTTTTCAGTAAAAAATGATGTTGCACAACCCAGTTTTGTCAAATTTCAAAAGAGAAGTATGTCTTTTGATTGGATACACATAAAAGATTACTTCTATTCTATTATGTGCTTTTCTTCTCTTTCCAGTAACTACATTTGTCCTATCGGCAATTATCCATGTACCAGCCTAAATTATGAGCAATAACTTACTAACGGCAGTATAGGAAAGCATATGAATTCATGAGATGATTTCCCAAGAACGCCCACCTTCTGCACTGAGAAATCAGCCACTAGTGTGACAAGAAGATAACCCTTCCAGCTCACCCACCACGTAACATCTTAGTGCTGCTGCTCTCATTCTTTTCCCAGGGATATGCAAATGAAACTCATCAGCTTTAAAATAAAGTAATTGCAAATGAATTAATTCCTCACCAACCACAATCCCAACAGACCCTACAGATTTTTTCTGCAGCAAATCAGATACCTACTGCTAAAAGGAGAGAAAAAGATCACATTCTAATTGGTCATACAGCTACAGACACCAGTTCTCAGAGCTCACTCAGTATACTCAACTACACATGAAAATACATTTCTATCCAGGTAGTAATACAGAAGCTCGCTGATTAAGTCACGTTCTTTCAGGACGGTGGAAACAAACACAACAGAAAAATAATCATTTCTTCTTACAATATACCAGGATTTGATGTAATAAAAATATATTAGGTTGATTCACACACTCCAAAATAAATACTCTTAGGTAATCTTCAGCCTGAAACAAGCCTTCATTTATTGACTACTTACAGTACAGTGATTTCGTATCTTAGCTGGTAATCAAAGACGGTTATGTATTAAGTGAGAGAAGATGTAATCTCTCTTCCAGATATCACCTCTCAGAAACTGGGGCTAATTCAATTTTAAGGACTAGATCTGCATCTCCTGGTAACCACGTGGCAGTCGTCACCCTGAGAACAGGAACAAGGCAGAGAAAGTATACAGGACTTTGATTCTCCTACAGGTGCACATAAAATTAGTTTATTAAGGACTACATTTTGAAGCCAGCTATTTTGATCCAATGTTTAAATAACAAGCTGTTTAATATTAAAGCAGAAGGTACTGCCACAATGTGACAGAAATACAGCTTTATCCATAAACCCTTCACACAATTATACATTAAATGCTATTTTTATTTAAGCAAGGCACCCCTACTTGTTCTAAAATATGGGATATGCTACCCCACTGAAAAAAGCAAATGAGGAGACTTAGATTCCATCCTATCTAGAGCTGGTTTAAATTCAAGTGAAGCCATCAATGTCCTTACCAATCAGGACTGCCATGACATGTCACTTCACAGTTTTGACACTAACACACACTTCAAGGTTTACTGAAAACCAAAGAAAGACGGGGCTGAGGGCAGGGGTGTTCAGACAACTTTTGACACTACAATTCCCTCTTTAATTATACAGACACCAATGTTAAATGCCTGTAGCACAGGGTTTAGAAAGGCAAAACATTTCCAGAGACATCAAACTGACAAACTGTTGTCATTTACACTAACCAGTGGTATTTTTTGTTTTGATTCCTTTTTTAAAAGTCTTATCACTATCAAAGTAATTAAATACACCTAAAATTAAAACTACTCTGCCAAATGATAATGGTTCAAAGGTCTGAAACCTTTCCTTGCTTTGGTGAGTATTTGCTTAAAAGAAATCAGTACTTTATTCCATGAGAAGTTTTACATCAAAGCTCTTAATTCACAGGCAAAAAAAGAAAACCTCAAACAGATTATTTTTAAAATGGGAGAAGATTTTAAAGGAAGAGTGCTGAATAAAAATACGTAGTCTTTACACTGGGTCACATATCCTCTGTGAAAACAAACTGTTTAATCATAGAAAATAACGGTCAGATTCTTTAATCAGATTCTGGACAGTTTAAACAAAAAACTAAATTTGTAGTTTATTTCATAATCCCCAACTGAATCTTTCCTTTTTCTTGCTAAACAGTCCATTATGGATTTTTTCTTATAAGCAATTCACCCCAAACCCCCAAATCATTCCTCTAGCAGTTACTGCTTAAAAAACTGGAACTTTATATCCCATGTCCAAGAAAGGTGTGCAAATGAAATGCTTCTTGCTTCATCCTGGAAAAAAAAAAAAGTGGTGTACATTTACTCAAAATGAAAAATGCTACTACACATGTTCCTGTATCATTTCAAATTATAAATTCTTTTTTTTCTTTCTGATTTAGTGCAAGTTTTCCGACAAATCAACTAAGTTAAGGTGAAGAAAATTAGCTGGGCGTTAGTGCTTACAGCCTGGCATGAAGACAGTAGATTTTCAGAGTTGAGCACAGAATATATTTCATATAGAGTTTAACTAATGAAAATATTTAACATCACAAGACTGTGGGACTTTATATCCAAAAACAGTCTATGACAACGATGGTAAAGAAATGTCCCATGTGTTTTTAAGGAATCATTACAGTAAAGTGCCTCAAAGGAATGTACCACTACATGTAGAAAAATGATTACAATACAATATATGAAAAGATTTTAGGGGGAAAAAAGACACCATATAGCACTGAGTAAGGGAAGGAACATCAAGACATACATAGTTGATTTACCACAGAGAAGTTAACTGTATGAAATCTAAGGATTTCCCAGGACTGCCATTTTGATAACACCATTTTAGGAAAAGACACAGCAGTACATTCAGTGTATAGATGCATGATACACCCTGGTTTCAAATGTATCACTTATAACATCTTAAAAATATCTTAGAACTGAGTAAATGTATTTAAATTTTATAGGAAGACAAGTTAATGTACTGTGACATAGAGCAGCCAGAGGTACTTATCTGGGCACACAGCGTGATGAACGTTGGGGATGGTACAAACAGATTCTAAAGGGGAAAATACTCAAAGCCACTATATGACCATAATATAGTCTGTTTCCCGGGGAGTTTCACTCCTTATACTGAAGCTTCAATTATCATGATTAGTTTGATCTTTATTAAAAAGAAATGGCTTCAATCGTATTACGAGTGAGGAAATGACTAATTTATCAATTGAAAATAATTTCCACAATTGCACCTCTTAAATTTACCTCATTATCTGGAGTCTCTGGAAGTCTTATTTTCCTTTTGGACACGAATTCAGGAACAATTCAATATACCTATGGTCTGAGGATGACAAAAAAAGATTCATTTTTTAAAGTTGTAAGGGCAGAAATAATGGTGTAGTCATTTATTTTCCTCATAGTTCAGACAGTAACTCAAGCCCTTTGCCCCATCCTTTCCCTAGTGAAAAAAAAAAAATTCTATCTAATTCTGGATGGATATATGCATGATAATTAATGAATAAATGCTTCTCACTATAATATAGTGGGGTTGGTTTTTTTTTTTGTCTTTTTTATACTTATTTAGTAGCATTAATGGAATACAATTATCCCAAAGGAAAAATTCTAGGCAAACTGCAAAGCAGAGAAAGGCATTTGTAAACAGACAGACATCAAACATGACAACAGAAACCAAGGGCAGCACTTACGAACGTGGGACCGATCCTTGAGCATAGCTGCAACAGCATCTTCATGAGTGTCGAAGTGCACGTCAGCTTCTCCAGTGGCCTTCCCGCTGGAACTGTATTCCATGGTGATTCTAACAGGCTTCAGTGGAGCAAAAAACTGAACAACAAACCAAGGAAGCCAAGAGGAACATGATGTTACTGGGTCCGATTTCTACAAGTCTGGTGGCTCTGCATTTTTCTTTCAGACTTGGATTCATGTATCTGATAAATTTATTTTCAGGAAATCTCTTTAAGCAACAATGTAGTTACACATCTACCACCTCCTTTTCTGATCTTCTTGGAACTCAAAGTCACATTTCATATATCTGTTCACAGAGAACTTAAACTGTAAGTACAATACCGTATATATAATTCTCAAATTTTTTTTATACCAAGAAGGACCATTTTTATTATTCCTCCCACACACATCCTTCCCTATTTCTAAAAACTATCCATCAAATACACTTCATTTCTTCATAATTCATTTTTATCATTGTTTTCAATTAGACATCCACCTGATAATCAGTTTTTTACCAGCACTACCTAAAGACAGCTACCACGCTGAGTAGTTATCACTCCAAACCAAAGCAACAGAATGTAATTCTTTAACAAGACCATGCAACTTTCATTTAGGTAAAGATATGATTCCTATTACGCTTTTTGAAATCATGAAGAAAACTGTGAGACCCCACTACTAACTGAAACAGGGCTCTGAGTATGGATCTACCTTAAGTAAATGTTCTCAAGTTTATGAAGTCAATAGGGGCTTCACTGTTCTATCTTTTCATTTCATACAGTATCTATCATGAAATAAAAATATTTTAAAAATTCCTTTTCTCAAAGATTAGGGAAGCCAGATGTAAGGAGGCTGTACAGTCTAATGAAAGCTCTAGGCATTTAGGAGTCCTGGATTTGTGTCTAGTATATAACAGCTCTGTGAGAAATGCCCTGAGTCTCCTTTTCCTAAACTCAAAAATGAATGGGTTGAACTAATTTAGAGAAAAACCAAACTTTTTTACTTTGAATACTAAACCTACACCATATTATTCTGCATCTATAAAATCCTCTTATCTATTATACATTTGACCCTAAAATGTAATAAAACCCATACTTCTTGGCTCAAGAAAGTAAGACAAGCCTCCACAACTACGGAGACGCCACCTTACTACCCAAAGCTACCACAGGGATGCTGTATTCTTCTTCTCCACCTTCCCTGATTTAATAGAAGTTCCACCTTAGAACTTCTGTTCAAAGCTACTGAGACTGGGTATCTTACTACCACATACATTTATGATGTCCTGGGCATTGGCTTGGAAAGGCAATCCTCTCATGTGGACAAAATGTAGTGAAGACGCAGCTCCAAAATCAACAGCCTCTGGAAGCTTTTCTGACGTCTCCTTGGGCAACTCTGAGAAGCAGAACAAGAAGCACCATCCAGAACATTGCAGCTTCGAGAGTCACTAACGGGTTATAACTAGGCATGACCTGTACGTCCAAGTCCTTCATTCCTCTTGAAACAGTAAGGAAGAGGGCTTTAATTTTAAAAGCCAAAACAACCTAAAATTTCTGCCACTTAACAAATATCACCTGAACACTCATAAGGCTTCAGTATTTCAAACCACTACCAGATTCCAAAAGACTGTATCTTTCTCTCACAACAGAGAGGAGAAATGATTATGAATGGAAAAATATAAAGGCAAAAGAAAAACTTTCTGGGTTATCGTCACCAAAAAAAAAAAAAAAAAAAAAAAGTTGTAACAGGCTAATCCTAGGGCACGCACTTAAAAAGGATTTATCAACTTCAAAGATTCCAAATGTTGCTTTGGGATTAGGAATCAAAGGAATGATTAAATACAGAGGCAAACAAAACTCCTTAGTCAACATTCCTGCTCTCTATACACATTTTTTTCCCATCTTAAGTGTTGACATTTTACTTC